TTAATTACATCTTAAATGACCGAAGTCACCTAAGAAAACTCTCGATAAAAATCAAGGAATACTATCTTCAAAAAAGTCGCGATAAAAATCAAGGAATACTATCTTCAAAGAAGTCGAAAGGATAGGACTTTTCGACGAAATCGGACAAGAGGTGTGAAACAGGAAATGCTCGAACCTAGAACGATGTTGAGGAATCCAAATTAAGAGAAACTAGGGGAGACCCACAGATCCAAAGAAGAACCTCAGTGACTTCCCAGTATATCCTACAAACCTCAGTGACTTCCCAGTCTATCTTATAATTTGGCTTTAGTTTCGAGAAGAAATTATTAAAGTGTTTCATACTGTCAATTTTATTTAATTATGGCTTATATTTGCATGGCATTGCCACGCAAATCGCCTGGAAGATATGAGGATTTACATCATATCGGACGACAACCTCGGAACCTAGAACGAGTTAGGGCTTAAATCGTACAGCAGAGCTATACGAATGTTTAAGGAAAGGGTGGAGGATTTATGTTGCGCTAGACAAACAACCTCGAAATCCTATGGATTGTTCTTTAATTTCTAGGAAAAGAATGGTTTTACTGGGGAAGACAGGTTTTGCTGTTGAAGATGGTCGTGTTGCCCACCGCGCTAGCTCCAAGCTCACCGACGTGACGAGTTTAAGTTTTCTAGGGAGTCCAGTTACGATGTTAAATCAAACAACCCTATGGTGAAAGTCTTCTAAACATCCTACATAAAAGAAGGATGCTTAAAGATATATAAATAAAAATGTGCAGTACATGAAAATAGTAGGATGCATGTAGAACAGTAGCAGGTAAAAACATGACAAATATAATATGTTGTACAGTACGGTAGCAGGTAAAAACAGGAAATATAGGTGTTGTAAAAGTGAGATCCGCTGTTCCTTAAGTATAGCAAGTCTAAATGCATCGCAAAAAGCGAAGTCTGAAAGAAACGTCGCTTAGGAAATCCGAAAAAAAAGTGTAACAATAACTCATGGCAGAAAACTCGAGAAAAGCGACTCAAGTAAAAGAGAAGAAAAAGAATCCTCAAAAATCTTAGAGAAATCCCGAAAGAAAAGAAAAGTAACACGAGTGCCCTGTCCCAAAGCTTCGATAAAACAAAACAACAAAAAAAAGGTTCGGGTGAGGAGAACCGCAAGCACTCGTATGGGGCTAGGCTCAGCTATGTATTTATACTCGAGGGTCCACGAAGGCTACTCGGTCACCCGAATGTATAGAGCCCGC